TGGACTTGTCAAGGATAACATCAAAGTCCACATCCTCATCAACAACGCAGGTGCGTTGATGCTAATCTCTTTGGTCATTATATTGAAGTACACAACCTCATCTGCAACCCAGTTTTGATGCAAATCTTTATAGTAGTGGGGTCAAGACTTCCACATCCTCTTCAAAAATGATGCACTGCTATGAACTATTGACCATGCTTGAAGTACGATGTGCTTCCTTTCATAAGCAAGGATGTGCTGGAAACTTTTACAGGTGTGATGATGTGTCCGTACATGGAGACGCAGGAAGGCTTCGAGATGCAGATGGGCACGAACCACCTGGGCCACTTCCTGCTCACGAACCTCCTCCTGCCGCAGATGAAGCAGCACGGCGAGCCCGCCCGGATCATCAACGTGTCCTCGCTGGGACACTTAAGTGAGGCTTTTGGGGACATGGGAATGTAATTTCCCAATGCGTTTTGTTCACAATGCATGGAATTGGAGCTTCCATAGTCAATGAGTCAATGAAGATTAGAGCCCAGAAAGAGTGACCGATGTCTTGTAAAAAGCAACGGGGCTCCCGCGAAAGACCATCAAATTTAAAAGTCCCAGAAATAATTTTGGTTCCTGTTTACAATTATTAAAATTTGGCATTTTAGCAAAATTAACCCTTATGGTGTTATAAATTTGATATCGAACCACTAATACTAATATTATTACTCTACTACTATTACTAGTAAGTTTTCGTTACTATTTTATTGGAAAGAATACTCCAATAACATGAGTCGACCAAACTACTTCCCCAGGTGGCGAGATCGACATGGACGACTTGTTCTTTAAGAAGAAGCCCTACGACAAGGTCCAAGCCTACGCCAACAGTAAGCTCGCCAACATCCTCTTCACTAGGCGCCTCGCCCACCTTCTCAAAGGTAACTTATTTGTAAAGGACCTTGATTTTATTGTGATATTCTTAATTATTTACTGTTTTGTACGTAAATAAGCGCTGTCAATCTACGGTACCATCATCTATGCGAGTACGCCCACATCGCAATCTTTGCGTCAACAAGCTGTACATCTTCGAGCTATATATTCTATTAAAAGTCGATTTCTACCTTTAATCATGTGGCCAAAAGATTAATTTTTTTATTATTGTGATTCTGTTATGTGATATTACTTCACGTTGCGCTTTGATAATGCTTTTATTTAAGGTTTCATTTGTCTAGGCGAAGTGCTACAAAGTTCTCTACTCACACGCTAACGAGTTGGGTATGTTCGAGTGTTATTCTATCATATATAAACTCTCAATTTTCGACATGTGGCCAAAGGATGAAATTATGATTGTACTTTCTTGTAACATATTATATTATCCATTTTTTGCACATAGAGGATATTAATAGCCCGTTGCGTATACATAATAAGCGAGGTGTTGTTGTGAGGTTATTTTAGTTGAGTTACTCGTCATTGACGAATTTTGTGTGCTCAGCGTGACTGGGTTTGGGTCCAAACACTTTGAAGCGAATGCTGAGAGCCAGAAAATAGCTAGTATAACTCTGCCGTAGTTGTGGAGATGCTTTACATGCCGAACCGACTGATACGGCGCATGTTTTAACCAGGTGATTGCAAGAGATCCACTAATGGACTACAGTATGTACGACGTAGGCAGAGTACTTGGATAGTTCCAGCCGCTGGCAGCGCTCTGGTGCGTTTCCTACTCGCACCGAAGCGCATCTCTCGTGTTGTGGGAGTTAATACCTCGGGAGTAATCGACGTTTGGCATCACTGCTCGTACACGTGTTATTTGCCGTCTAACTCTACCGCGTCTTGGTGTGGCCCGTACCCACATAATTCGCTTTCCTCAGCAGCAACTGTGACTGGCTTTTCGCGTTTTGGCACGGCTCGTACCCGTGCCACTCGCTGTCTGACTTTTCTACGTTTCAAATTCACGTGCCATTTATCCACTTGTCGACGCTTGTACCTCTGGGGTTGTAATTTGGTCTCCTGGAGCTTTTTATCTGTCTGTGAAGAATAATATGTATCTACCTCGACTGAATATAATGTGCGCCCTTGTATGAAGAATATCGTACACCACCTGGAGATCATCAGTATACTACTGAAAGTTCCCCTAGTGTTTATTCCTCCCCTCTCCAACTTAAAGGAATTTAGAGCCGGACCAAAGCGCGACTTTTTAGCCTTTTAGTTGGACTTACAGCGTAAATTTTCTGTGAAGTAGGCACACTACTCATAACTATTTCAATTTAGCGGCGGTGTTGCCGGTTGCGTACGTAATATGGTGCACTGGCGCGCCATATATAGACCTATGTGTCTACCAAGAGTGTGTTAAGCAATATTGTTCCTTTCTGTGCAAAACCCGATTTAAAAAACAGATCATTTTTAGTGTGGAAATTCTACGATACGATTATACGAAATCATATTACAAAACGTCCTTCAAAAAATATTGAAGTTCGAGTTCTGATAAAAATCAGTCATCAGTCGTCCGAATCTGAGCCTATGTTTTTCACTACCGACATGGGCTGCCTGACTCTATGTCCACTTGAGGACCGCAACAACCCTTCCTCCCAAGTGTGATCATTACTTCGTTGTGATGAGGTTAATATTACCTTTATTTGTTGATTCAGACGTTGGATTATGAAGCATTAATTAGTGAAGCTTACTACTGCCTTCACAGGCACGCAGATCCAGGTGTTCTCGCTGCACCCCGGCTCAGTGCACAGCGCACTCGGCCGCCACATATTATCCTCCGTGATGAACGACTACATTTTGTGCCTCGCTCTGAAGACGACGCTGGAGGGTGCCCAAACTACCGTCTACTGCGCCACGCAAGCCAAGCAGCATAGCGAGATGTACTTCAGGTAGTAATTTACATGATGGGTTCGCACAGTTCTTGCCTCTCACCTGTTGAATAGCGAGTTCAGGTTTCTAAAATCACAGCGTTTGTGTAATTTTAAACCCCCCCCCCCTGTTTTAACCCTATTTTTGATCTTTTATGAGTGATGTATTGCATGGAAGCGCAATTCTGCGTATAATAGTTTAGCGGCACCAAGAACTAATCTCAACGGCAGGCGCTAACTAATCCCGGAATATTTCATTATTGGCAGCAGACGAAGCCTAAAAAGAAATTCCCAGCGACGTTGCTCATTTAGAAGAGCAGTAGTTTCCCTTTACATAAGTCGGGACCTAGTTGGGACAGATGAACAGGGTCTGAAACTATTGTACGTTTTTGTGAATAATCTTACGAGCAATGAAATAATCGACAGCGACTGCGCCGTGGGCTGGGCTCTGTACGCCTCCAAGGACGAGCGATTGGCCGAGGACTTCTGGAAGCTGTCAGCCCAGCTCGTCAAGCTGGACGAGTGACTTGATAAGTGAAAAAAGGACGCCTTACCTGCCGAGTGAGCTGGACGAGTGACATGCAGGGAGGAGACGTGCAATGCTACGACTGATCAGTCCCGCTGCTGCGTTAGGAGTCTTACATTGTTTGCTTTTTAGCGCATTTTCTCATTTATGGAAAAAATGCACTATTGTGCTCGCCATGTCCGTCTGTCTGAGTCTGTCCGTCCGTCCGTGACCTCAAGTTTTCGTCGACGAGAAAATGCGCTCTCTGTCACTCACTGCATGCAGTGAGTACTGAGTTACATTTTTTATGAATTGCTTTCGATTCTGAGGCGCGGACAGTGTCACTTCCAGAATACTGTTATTGTCCAAAATAATTAGACTAACCGATGGAAGTAGAGAAATAAGCAGTGCGGCCAACTATTCATGCTGAGATGCTTTAAGTACCTTTGTTCGTTGCTTTCAATTAGTTTAGGTACATTTTCATCGTTGTTTGCGAGTGATGAATTTAGTTGAAAAATGTATGGTAGAATTAAGCACGTGATTTAGGCAGGAATTTGTGTTGGGATTAACGTGACCAGTTGTAGGACATTGATGCAATTGGTCTTGACAGAGGTTAATTTGAGAGCATTTGGATATCAAGTATATGTTCCGCGTCATCTTGTACCATGAGTTTTGAGAGCGACATATGTCGGTCAAAAGCTTTTAATTGTACCGGATTAAGCTCAACTTCGTTTAGAAGTCCCTCGCCTCTGCAATAAGTCTTAAAATAAGATAAAAATCTGCTTCAATTCGCACCTGTTGAATTCCAATTTCAAACGGCATACCGTCCCTTGTTGTCTTTTTATTACATAAAGTCTTATTCCTATATGAGCTTCTTTGCTTGCTGTCCTACTGTGATACCGAGATGGGGTCTATCTTACAATGGGACCGTGACGCTCACAGTAAACCTTGTTCACCTCCTCACCATGGACGTTTTTCTTGTTCTATTTAAGAAGCTGTTCTGATTACACAATTTGCACGACCGGGTACAGTATTTTGTCTAAACGTTCGTTTCGAGCAAATTTATATATGTATATATATTCGATTTACCAATGACATTATTTGACTTTATTGATTTCTCACATTACTCGCGTTTATTTCCTGCCAGGGACTGCTGGTGAGGCCGACTGATGATTAATGTGGCGTTCAGACAAAAAATTCGCTATATCAGGAATCAGAAATTTTCGTGCTCCCCAATACATTGAAGCTAAATATACGGAAATATTTCACCCTACAGACATTACATTACTGCAACCGCTGGACGAGATGCGATGTTGACCTTACTTGCTACAGACCTTACAGACCTATAGGCAGGGCGGCCCAGTGGTTACAGTTCAGAGTACCACGATTGGTGCAGAGAGGCGCGGGTTCGATTCCAGCTCGGTGCGCCAGTTTCTGGTCACAATCGGTGAGGAGGCCGGGCGGTTAAGAACAGCAGAATTGGAGCAGTGAGTTGTGTGTTCGAGACCACATGAAGCTGTGAATGTTCTGCGATGTTAAGAATCGTCGACAGGCCTACGGCCTAATAAACGCTGAAACCGCTATTATTATTATTAACTTCAAGTTAGCGCAATTTACGTCACTCTCATAACTACGTGCATCGACAAAAAGTTCCACCTAATACACGTCCCTCAGGAGGGCCTTCTGACGCTTGCCTTCGCTCGTCAGAAGTCCTATGGGATTTCGCGTTCCCAAGGGCAAAATTCCTGAGCGCCCCACCGGAGCTCTCGGTGTCTGACGGCGGGTCTTAGTTTTGGGGTTGTGACGGGATCTAGACCAATTAAACTAATGATTGAATTCAATTCTAACGCGCAGACTTCTTAAATACATCACTATAACCGGAACTGGCCTGCCAAACTAACGGTTGAATTAAAAAGTAACGCGCATACTGTTCATGTACATTAACTATCGCCACCAACAGGTCTGTTAGGAACAAACAATTGCAGCTCTAACACCGATATGATACTCGTAATATTTCCGCGTAGACACGCTGACCAAGTCTATTATATTTCCTATAACCTTGCCTATACACTCGCTTGTCCAGAGCAGACGCGCTGGTTATAGGGCTTCTCTATACCTTTCCTACGCCATCAATTTAAGGCGAAAACAAAATAGTCTCGTTGATATAGATCATTAACTCTCTTTGTTAAAATCGTTTGTACACGAAATGAAATAGATCATTTTGCTCGATTTCTATTTAAAAACTGCAGAAGAAGTACAAGTGATCAAGCACGAAAGTTGCTCCTGAATGCAGACGAATCGACGACACGAGTGTCAGCGCGGCAGAACACAGATCTTTATCACGACTTTACAGTACCTAACTAACAGGTTCCGAAATACTCGCTCTGAACTACACCCGTCATAGGGATAGTGTGACAGGGATTTGTAGTCAGAAGTGAATAATAAATCATTGGGTCCTCATTTGGGGGCAAGCTTTCTGTTCGAAGAGGAGCGTTCGTTGTTTTTACCTTTTTTAAGTGAACTAATACACAGAATCTTCATCGCAATTCACAAGCACGAGAAATTTAAAATGTTTCGTTCCAGTTTGCAAACGTTGAAGACGACTAAATCCAGCCTGCCGTGGCAATCATTGTGGATTAAAACCTCAGCAAACAACAAGCAGGCTCACAAGTCTGAACTAACGCTCCACGACGCCTCAAGCCACCTTCCTCATGGGGGTACGTACAAACTTGTTAACAAACGTTGAATAATTAGTACGCAAGGTGGGAGCATTTCACTCGTGTATTGGGAAGAGGCATGAAAAGGTGAGCACTTGTTCAATGAATCACACACCGAGTCAATGTTCGGCTAAAAACGTGATGGACCAATAATGGGGTAAAAAGAACGTTTCCGTAGATCAGTAATTTTCAAAATTGACTCTAAATCTTATCAAGGATAAATTCTGCGCTTGTATAGCTAAGGAGTTTTTGAATTTGAACAACATAAATTTAAAACGCTCTGTACAAATTGTTTCATAACTAAAACTGTATACCATCGCAGCTTAGTGGTTTAACCGCTGAGATGAGACGAGCTAATCTTGGGCTCGAGCCTTTGGAAGCTCAGTTCATTTCTTGGTGTCTCAGGTATGAAGCGCTTGGTAGGCGTCGAGGCTGATGCTTTAGCATGGGTCAGGTCGTGTCGTAAAATAAACTTATAGTACGTGTTGCCTGAAGAATCGCAAAGCATATGGCCTTGTCGTGGGGGTTTAAGATAAGCTCTTTTTTACATGAGTATGACGTAAAGCATGAAACAATCGACAATAATTAAAAGCCATTTCATAATTGTCTCGATGGAACAGAACGCGATTGCGATTGTCCAGAGGATGTTTTATCCCAACTGGCTGTGCTGGGCCTTCTTCACGGAGGGCTGGGGTCTCTTCTTCAGTGAGGAGCCCTTCAACCTTACCGTGCTATTCTCCTCTGGTTCGTCTCCTTGCGCTTTGTTTATTTTACGTCACATTTTCTCATCACATTTGAGTTTTCATTTTTCTCCTCGTACTTTCCTCTAATTAATTATCCCGAGCAGTCTTTTAATTTTCAGAAAGCAGAATTCTCATTCCGAGCCAAGTTCATCACTGCTACTTTTTCGTCTCTCCTACCTTCCTGCTAAGCTAACCTCTCGTCGTTCCTAGGATGTCAATGTCACTTTGGATGCAGATTTAACCTGGGATTCCTTGCATGTATTAAGTATTTTAAGTATATAATACATGGGCATTAATAAGAACTTAATGTTGTCATTATAAAGAATATTGGCCAAACGAGCACTACCTTTAATAATGTAATGAAAATCTTTGAAATAGGTTTCGAACTTTTCGATTGCTCCTCGGATACCCTTGATTATCGTGACTGATGTTATCAGTTATCGGATACCCTGGGCTGTGCTGTTGCAGCGCTGCTGTGGCAGTACCTGGTGGGGGGGGTGTCGGTGACGGGCCTCTTATGGAGCGCCCTTTGGGTGGTGGCAGTGCGCCGCTACCTCGCAGGGGGCTTGTGCACGTCCACGGCTCGCCTCACGGGCCAGACGGTCGTCATAACGGGCGCCAACGTCGGCATCGGCAAGGAGACGGCGCGAGACTTGCTCAGGAGAGGTGAGTCTTTCATTAGAGTTTCGTTAAATGCTCTTGCCAAGTCTTTAAGTAAGATAGTCAATCCACGAATAACTTCTATTAGCAAATCATAACATGGGCGCCGGAATGCACTTCATCACTCTGCCGTTGGGTCGTCATGCGCGTATTGCCTCCCCCAAGCTATGGGGTTCAGATCCCTGAGCCTCTCGTTTGCTTCTCCCCAGGGGCTCACGTGATCTTGGCGTGTCGCAGCTTCTCCAAAGCTGAGGAGGCGCGTCGGTCCCTGCTGGGTGAGGGAGGAAAGGTGGAGGTGCGCCTGCTGGACCTTTCCAGCCTACAGTCCGTCAGGGACTTCGCTGCTGGACTTGTCAAGGATAACATCAAAGTCCACATCCTCATCAACAACGCAGGTTGTTGATCACTTTAGTCATGATATTTAAGGACATAGTCTCAGCGATAACATTGGCGCGTTGATTGGCTATAGACGTGCATATAGCTTAGGGAGTCTACGTATGTTAACTGGTATGAGTGTTGGCTGCAATAATGTTGTGATGGCATGAACAATGAATGCAGTAATTATATGTTGAATGTCACAGGGGTGTTTATGTGTCCGTACATGGAGACGCAGGAGGGCTTCGAGATGCAGATGGGCACAAACCACCTGGGCCACTTCCTGCTCACGAACCTCCTCCTGCCGCAGATGAAGCAGCACGGCGAGCCCGCCAGGATCATCAACGTGTCGTCTACCGCTTGTCTCGGTGAGGTTGGTTCTTTGGAAGGTACTCGTGCGAGGCTAGCTTGGACTGAGCCATCAGAGTTTGGAGAGCCATCAGAGATTTTCTAGCAATATTTTTATTATTTGTGACTGACATTCTGCCCTAGAAATTTCGAATGGTGGCGTAACTAGAATTAAATTAAAAGGCTATAATTATTTAGCGGTATTATCAAAGAAAAGTGCTTGGTGATGAACTTAATAGGTTGACTCGTGTAGCACGGCGTAAGAGGTGGTATTGGGAAAAGCAGAGCCAGGAATTAGAAATTTGCAAAAGATGTGCGTGAAACCTTTCAAACTGAGTGTAGTCTGTTTTTGTGTTAGTATATTCCGTAACTTCAATATTTTAGCTAAAACATTGCTGTTTCCGCCTCCAAAGTTGATGTAAAATTATAGCAGCGCCAATTCCTTGGACATGTCTGTTCAACTGTCATATGCTACTTATCCATGCAAACACCGGCAATTTGTGCCGACTTCATTCGTTGTTATACTAACTGCAATTTTGTATTAATCAACTTGATGGGCAAAGTTAATCCTATTGTACAGTTGAAATGCCAATGGGAAATAAGTATACCGGGATATACTGAGAAAATTATTAGCAACAGTGCTTATGCATTGCAGACTAGATCTCCGGGATTTGCATCACATTATCAACCCGGCAGAACGTGCCGAAGTAGCACTATCGAGACAATAGCTTAACACAACACCGGAGCTTGACGGAACTGAACTAACTTCCCGCACTTAGTGATCTTTAAAGCATTTTTCAAGAAACACGTCATATGGCGTTACCGTCAGCTCACAAAGGGAGTGAGAAAACCAATGACTCGAAAGTCTCGATAATATCTCGACCTGACACAACGAAGCTCAGTAAAACTTGACGCATTTTTGTAACAGGGGGTAAGATCGACTTGGATGACTTGTTCCAAAAGAAGAAGCCATACGACGCCCTGCAGAGCTACAGCAACAGCAAACTCGCAAACGTCCTCTTCACCAGACGCCTCGCGCACCTCCTCAGAGGTCGGGACTTTCTTCTTCAGCGGCCATTTTATGTAACCTGGACATGTTTTCTGCACCAAATGTTTCTTAAAATTTATTCATTCATTCACCTAAAAGTTCTTTATAATTGTTTCTACAACTTCATATTTTATTGTTATATCAATGAAATTAATTCATTTCGATCAATAGTTTGTCAAAGTGACAAAAATCAATATAATCCATTTTTATGTTTCACCATGCGTATGCTGCCTTAAGCAACGGATGCTGTACAATATCAATCTTGTGTAAGCAACCTCTTGTTCGAGTGTCTCAGTTTCTGTTGTTTTTCACCTGTCCCTTCTTGTCACTTCGTCTCTCTTTGAGATGCTGACGCTGCTTCTTTCGAGCCAACTGCAGCGGGCTGGACAATTGAGATTTTCCGCTCGTTATGGGTGATGATTGATTTGAGATTTGAATTATTGAGACTTTCCACCTTACTGGCGATGTCATCTTTTGACCTCCGGTGCGAAATAGCTTCATAGCTGAAGCGCTAGCAAACCATTATACTACCACTACTCTTTGCTGGTTGGCCAAAAACGCCCTACAACCGTGGCTGACGCGTGCTCTTTGAACTCAAGAAGATGAATACGATCTTAATCTCATCCCCTAAATTTCATTTGAATCTCATTCCCTTTTCTCTCATTTCTTGCATGATCTTCATTGGTTTTGTGCAGGCACGAAGATCCAGGTGTTCGCTCTACACCCCGGCAGCGTGGTCAGCTCAGCCACGCGCCACGTGATGTCTTCGACGTTCTTTAAAGACTACGTCATTAGTTTGGCGCTCAAGACGACGCTGGAGGGCGCACAGACTACCGTCTACTGTGCTACTGAAGCCCAGCAGCACAGCGAGATGTACTTCAGGTAGTGATGATGACATTGGATTACACCAGTAAATATCTCTTTATTTCAACATGATGAACTAACCCTGGCGCTCCAACAAAGCGACGCGTTCCTTTGTCTTACCCTTGGCATTTTCCATCACGGTCCATGAAATAAGAGGGACCTCTGCTCTAGGAAACCACTAGATATTTCTTTAGACTATAGTATTTGTGCTTGGTATTACTGGTATTGATCCACTCTAAATTCTCAGAAACTTTAGTCAGCTGAATGACATTTTTAAAGAAATTTTGTCACCCGCGAGTTAACTAAATTCGTTACTGGATGATTTCAAGAAAGAATTCATTTGATATTTTATTTGAAATATTTTCTGTTACGGCAAGCCTATGAAATTGGTATTTTACCAGAAGAATTTCAATAAAGCGAAATATTATTCATAAGCTAAGGCTGACGTCAAATTTTATGCACAGTTTGGAACAGGCTGTTAAATTAAAAGTAAGACTTAATTAATATTTTCATTGGAGAAGATGATCGGTGATCCTGGAAAAAAAAATTTGTTTTACTATTTGACGTTCGCCAACAAGCAAACACAAACGTTTGTCCAACCAATCAAGATATTTTTCTAATATATGGCAGAATGTTTCCTACGAAATATGTCGTAGAAACGTATTTTATAGCTGTAATTTTCTTACAAATTCGACTCGTTTGGTTACAACAGCGACTGTGCCGTGGGCTGGGCGCCGGACGCCTCCAAGGACGAGCGACTGGCCGAGGACTTGTGGAAGCTGTCAGCCCAGCTCGTCAAGCTGGACGAGTGACTTGCAGGGAGGAGACTGGACGAGTGACGTGCAGGGAGGAGATGAGGAGCTGGACGAGTGACGTGCAGGGAGGAGACGAGGAGACTGGACGAGTGACTTGATAAGTAAAGGAACGACGTCTTGCTTGCCAAGTGACCGACAATATCCCTAGATTGTTTATGAACGTCTGTGCTCTTTTAATAACTTGTTTCTGGAGCATGCCGATTGCTAACGTTAATCCACCGACGAATGTAGCTCGCCTTCGCGATTGAGTCAAACGTCGCTGTTGATTTTACACTGCAGGCGATTAAGTCGAATACTGTATTTTAGATATGAATTAATTTTTTTTCACAAGGAAGTTTGAATTGATTTGTACATTCTGAATAAATGCATGAAAAATTAGTAAAAATTCTTGTCCTTAGTTTATTGAAACTGTGTGTCTGCGAAATACCACCGGCTTTTCAAACTCAAACCATAACGACATCACACATTTCGCTCATTACAACAATTGACAATTTAGTTAGCAATGCCGTTTGGCATTGACTGTTTGACATAGTGAGCAAAACAATGTCGCTAGAATTCATTTCTGTTTACAATTATCATGCGGATTATGTCATTACGATTAACAGAAGCGTTTTCACTAGGCATGTGGAAACGGAATCCATCGAGTGGTGACTGGTGAACAGCTCGCGGTAGAGTAGGAGCTTTCTGTTTGGGAACTGCTGTCACACAGTGCGACCAACACTGCGCATCTTGGAAATCAAGTAAGCCACGCAGGAAAAGTGAAAAATTTGAGCGAAATTGTGTTGAGATCCTGAGCTTACCATTTAACATTACACTCGGGATAGGCTTAGATAGCGTTGTTAGCAATGATAAAACGAAGACGACTTCTGTTGCAGTGTTGCTGTTCATTTAGTATCCCTCTGAACGTTCCTAGGTTAGGTTGCGTGACAAGCAGCTCTACATCTCGTCAGTCGGAGGTAAAAAGTTGCAGTTGTCCTGCTAAGTAGTGTGTGTAGCATCAGCTGAGCTTGGTTTTAACAGGTAACTAATATAAAAAATGACACTAATATGTTACAATAAAATAATATGTTGCAATGACAGGGAGAACTGAATGTTTGAACGAGAGAGCATGCGCCGGCGAGTTCATTCTTGTCAGCCTCACGATTTAACGACTGTAAGTCGAGTACGGTGCTAGGTAACTAAGAATATCGGTTCTTAAATAAAAAGAACAAACCATGACCTCTTATTTTGGCATACGGATGGCCGGCAGGAAGAAGGATGGTGAACGGTGACGGACGTGTGAGTTGTGACTCGGTGAATTCCGTCGTGAACGATAGTGAGTTAGGAATACATTTTTGAAACGATGGATTTTGAAAAGTTAGAGATCCAGACTCGCTTCTTCGTGCAGGGAGAAGCACCCACCCTGCAAGTCAGTTCTTGACGTCAACGCTAAAGACGCTTTCCACCGCCACCATGTCCAAGCTGGTGGGTGCGTATACGTCAGACATGTAGTAAGCTTACTAGGATACATAAGCTCGAACTTTTCTAATGCCAAATCCAAATTAGTATAAATAATTCGCTGAAATTAATAGATGAACATCTTTCAAGAAATACTCCGTCACAGTTGAAAGATCGGTCATGAATTGTCTCACTGGAACAGACGAGGGCGATCGCAATCTTCTCGAGGTCCTTGCACCCCAACTGGCTGTGCTGGGCCTTCTTCACGGAGGGCTGGGGTCTCTTCTTCAGTGAGGAGCTCTACAACCTCAGCGTGCTCTTCTCCGCTGGTTCGTCTCCTTGAACTCTTTTCCCTAGTCACCTCTTTTTATTCAAGTCCCTTCTCTACTTCATTATTACTTCACCGCAGTTTCTCTACTTATTTTTCGTGTTGTAATTTTTAGCGCATTTTCTCCTTTATGGAAAAAGGCAAGCTGTGCTCGTCATGTCCGTCCGTCTGTCTGTCCGTCCGTGACTTCACGTTTTCGTCGACGAGAAAATGCGCTCTCTGTCACTCACTGCAGTGAGTACTGAGTTATATTTTTTCACCTTGTGGTTGGTGTAGCTTCCCCATTGGTCACGGTAGGGACTCTTCTTAACTAATACAAGTTTCTATGTTAGCGCGAGCTCTCGTGTATATCAAGTGCAGTGTACCTTCGACGAGCGAGGTTCCGGTGTTATTGCTCGAATTGCTTAAGGTTGTGTCCCGTGATTATAGTTGAGCTTCATCCACATTTTATCTAGTGCTCCGCTACTCATGGTGCTTCTTGACAATATATGAAAGGATAATTCCAATTCACACAAATACGGTGGCGGTGTAGAAAATATATTTTTTACTGTTGTATTATTAGATTCTACATCCAGTGCGTCTCAACTCATGGTACTTTATTTACTCTACATTCATGAACGGTTTTTGCCTATTCACACATATACGGTACGATGACAGAGAAGATTTTTTTTTATATTACACTAATGCGCACAGGTGTTGTCTTTACAAACTTGCGTTGCAACATAAAATGTTTTTTATTATATCTTGGTGTCAAGTGCTGATGCTCAAGACCAAGATTATGATTACTGAATGAGAAGAATCATGAGATTGTGCCGGCCAGCGCTGCCGCCTTGATAAGCCTCGAGGTCAGCCATGATGCCGGGTCAAATGACGAAGGACCTTTTGCTACTATTAACTACATCACCTTGATTTCATTTAAAATGTTATCGCTGAATAGTTCTTAATAAGTCGCAAGATTCTCAATCTTATAATGCAATGAACGGTGGAAATTTCTTTTTCGTCTAACGACCCGACAAAGATAAAACTTCGAACCTGAAAACAATGCTGCTGCTACAATGACCGCAACCTATTTAGCATGTCATGCTATAGTTACACCACTGTCGCGTGTCGCGGAAGTTTCATACGTACATCAGATATCGCTAATATCAATCATTCATGAATCGGGGAATTTGTGATAAAAATGAAATATTTAATTTTTGATTCGTGAAGAATTTAGATGATCTCTGAAGAAATTCTCTGATAACAGACTTGACGATTAACAGACTTATCTTGCTTATGACATATAAGACTTCTCAATGGGATTCGAATTGTTTGATTGCCCTTCGTAAAAGTTTGAATGTAATGGCTAATGTTATCAGTTATCGGATACCCTGGGCTGTGCTGTTGCAGCGCTACTGTGGCAGTACCTGGTGGGGGGCGTGTCGGTGACGGGTGTCTTATGGAGCGCCCTTTGGGTGGTGGCAGTGCGCCGCTACCTCGCAGGGGGCTTGTGCACGTCAACGGCTCGCCTCACGGGCCAGACGGTCGTCATAACGGGCGCCAACGTCGGCATCGGCAAGGAGACCGCGCGAGACTTGCTCAGGAGGGGTGAGTCTTACAAAATTTACAGTGAATAATTTTTAATCCACGTCCAATGCAAAATCTAAACATAACACGTTGTAATATATTATTGCTAAGACACTTGCGTTGGCATTCGCAAGAAAAATTAAAAAAAATCAATCGGAAGTAAATATTTTGCTACTCAAAACAACGGGAATTGTTTGCTTGAGGTCGTCAAATGAGGTCTATGAGCTACGTGTGCATTTCGAGTCAGGTTGACAGTTGAAAACGTAAATTACAATTATTTCCTTAAGTGAAAATTCCTGAGGTGGTGTAGCACCGGTGTACCATTTGAGCAATCAGTTCTAACGAAAATAATTTGACAGCTGAACACTGTAAAATTTGAAATTTGCAGAAAGAATTGAGCCGCTGTAGGCAGTAGAAACCTAGTCACTGTCATCACAATGAAGTAATCATCTGCAGGTTTATGGCTTAAAAAAATATTTAGTCATGATATCTTATTTCTTTTTATTGCATTCTATCGTGCTCATGACTTACAGAAATTTATTTTGCACCATCGGCGTTAAGTATCATCGACATATATTATAATATAATAATAATAATAATAACGGTTTCAGCGTTATTAGGCCGTAGGCATGTCGCCGATTCTTAACATCGCAGAACATTCACAGCATTTTGCGGTCTCGAACTCGCAACTCACTGCTACAATTCTGCTATGCTTAACCGCCCGGCCTCCCTGCCGATTCTGACCAGAAACTGGCGCACAGAGCTGGGTTCGAACCCGCGCCTCTCTGCGCCAATCTTGGTACTCTGAACTTTAACCACTGGGCCACGCAGACCACTCCGGTTTGATGCCGTTACTATATATTGTTTTTATTCTCCGTTCGTACTTTCAGCGACTCTATACAGTCTTCCTTAAACCATGGGACAAGGAGTCTAAAGTCGTTTGCTTCTCCCCAGGGGCTCACGTGATCCTGGCGTGTCGCAGCCTCCCCAAAGCTGAGGAGGCGCGTCGGTCCCTGCTGGGTGAGGGAGGAAAGGTGGAGGTGCGCCTGCTGGACCTTTCCAGCCTGCAGTCCGTCAGGGACTTCGCTGCTGGACTTGTCAAGGATAACATCAAAGTCCACATCCTCATCAACAACGCAGGTGCGTTGATGCTGATCTCTTTGGTCATGACATTGAAGTACAGATCCTCATCAACAACGCAGGTGCGTTGATGGCGATCTCTGTAGATATATTGAAGTACAGATCCTCATCAACAACGCAGGTGCGATACATGGAGACGCAGGAGGGCTTCGAGATGCAGATGGGCACGAACCACCTGGGCCACTTCCTGCTCACGAACCTCCTCCTGCCGCAGATGAAGCAAGATGAGCCCGCCCGGATCATCAACGTGTCCTCTCACGGACATCTCGGTGAGATCGATGCCATATATAACCCTTGTATTATATACGTTATGCTATTATATGATTAATTTCCCGGTCTACGGGGGTTATAGTAGAAAATTTAAACATTTCGCTTCATTGCTGCCTTGGATTTTGTTCTCACGTGACTGCAGAATTATAACAAGAAAATGTTTATTGAATTTCTGTGAAGTGCTTCATGAATTTCTCTCTGTTATTCAACGAGAGAGATTTATGGTTTACTTGCAGAGCAAAGTTACCGAGACGGTATTCTAGTTTTGTTATGCGTCAACGGTCAAGAACAAAACGTGATTTATTGAGACCAGGATGCAGTGTTCAGCTCCGCTGTAGATAGGCAAAGTTTCTCGGTCCAGTCGACCTGCACCACTGACACTCAACTTTAACACACTACCTGCACTTGAATATTTGTCGTGGCCCACTTGACCTCATGAAATCAGTTGGAATTTCAGTCCCTAAATGAACAGACCATCTGTTTTTTTTAAATACTGTGATGAAACGCTGGCTCATTCTACAAATCTTCATAGAAAAACTTCCGTGATGCATTTAACAGTTGGCGAAATCGACATGGACGACTTGTTCTTCAAGAAGAAGCCCTACGACAAGGCGCAGGCTTACTTTAACAGCAAGCTCGCCAACGTCCTCTTCACCAGGCACCTCGCCCAGATCCTCAAAGGTCGGACATTACATCATTTTTTCCTGTTGGGGGCTTAACCAAAGCTTGATACATTTCTTTTGCACCCCGGCAACGTATCCAGTACAGACACAAAAAAAATTATCAACAGTAATAACGTTCCACTACCTGTATAGCTGTTCACTTAAATCGGCAACTATATTCGACTATTTAGATCTTATTCTGACATTTTTTATGCACAACATTTTACCCTCTTTACTCTCATGAACCACACATGATCTCATCTCCAGGCACAAAGATCCAGGTGTTCTCATTGCACCCCGGCGCGGTGTTCAGCGCTGCAGGCCGCCACATTGTAACCTCGACGTTCCTCGGCGACCACATCTTCTGCCTCTTGCCCAAGACGACGCTGGAAGGTGCACAGACCACCGTCTACTGCGCGACCGAAGCGAAGCAGCACCACGAGATGTACTTCAGGTAGCAGCCTCTCCATTCTTATAAAAGAGTTTTATGCTCAGCAGTAGCTGCAAGAGAGCTAAGCTGCGTTCATGGCTGCATACAATCAGGTAATCTAAATACAGACTGGCTAGATGTAGTATTCGGCCCACGGGGTATACGCTGCGTCGCTGATGATAGATTGGCAAGATGATTCGGGCTCTGTGAGTACAGTTCCATTCGGTATTCAAATTATCTCTACCGGTATATTCTGAGAGCAACTTGAACCCTTAGTAACAAGCAAGTTACGTTTTTTGATAATCTAACCATAACAAAACGTATATGGAGCCAGCTAATTTTCTCTACATAATTAACACCCTTCTTTGAGAGTTTCCTCGCTAGTCTATTTATTGTACCGACGCCTGACGTACTTTAATGTACCAACCATTGACGTACCATAATGTACCAAGTCTTCACAACAGCGACTGCGCCGTGGGCTGGGCTCTGGACGCCTCCAAGGACGAGCGACTGGCCGAGGACTTCTGGAAGCTGTCAGCCCAGCTCGTCAAGCTGGACGAGTGACGTGCAGGGAGGAGACGAGGAGCTGGACGAGTGACGTGCAGGGAGGAGACGAGGAGCTGGACGAGTGACGTGCAGGGAGGAGACGTGGAGCTGGACGAGTGACGTGCAGGGAGGAGACGTGGAGCTGGACGAGTGACGTGCAGGGAGGAGACGTGGATCTGGGCGAGTGACGTGCAGGGAGGAGACGAGGAGCTGGACGAGTGACGTGCAGGGAGGAGACGAGGAGCTGGACGGGTGATTTGCTTCACTCGTCATCAGTATAACATCTGCCAGATGTGCTATTGTTTTCTCTTCACCTGCATGCGGCTCGGTACCTTCTCATCGTTGTAGCAGTATAATCTTTACATTCTGGCACGTTCTTAAATATACAAATCACACGTTGTTATTTAAGGAAGCCCTTATATTGTGAAGCTTACAATAGTTATAACCGCAAAGTAAGATTTGTTTTAGTGTAAAAGTCGCCTATAATTTTCTGCAAGACCCTTTTACACTCTGTGATGTCATATGTTCGGTTGACGAAAAACTTCCTCAATATCATAAATCTTGCAGTAAACTTGGCGCAATGTCTGTCATCACTCAGGTTTGGACATTACAGAACTAATGCGTTGTTCGTCAGGGAAATCAGTAATGATAAGATGGATAGAAAGTTGTATTGTTTAATCTTTTCTACGATATGCGCCCTCCGCTTACACCACATGCTGTACACACCTGTCAGCAACCACCACACTTGGAACACGCTGATGCTTGCGACCGAGATTGGAACGATTGTAACATTTGATGAATGAATTTTCTATTAAATAGTTATCATAAATTTCCTGTTGGAAATTATTATTCTATGAATTAAATGAAGCTTGTTTGTTTCAAGATTCAGATAGGAAGCCAATAATGAATTTAACTCGTAACATTTTTCTTTATCATCTTGAAATGCCAATTGTAACGACAGATGTCCGCAACTAAACACATCTACACAAAAGCAGCTAGAATTTCGTCCTCGTCTTCGTACTACTGCACTCAGTAGCTAAACATAAAATAATACTCAAGTTATGCTCAAGTTATAGAGAAAAAATGTCCATGTTATTCCCGTTCACTCCCCGCATCATGATGGGCATATGATGACGCAATACAACATTGTTCTTGTTACGAAACGTATGACTTGCATTGTTGAATTTTAATGTTAAGAGTTAAATTTGCCTGTTGTCTATCATTTTAAAGCTTTTTATTCATTATTTAGCTGTTTGTTTGTTAAAAGTAACATTGAACAATGTCACTTTTCCGATGAGAACGTCCTCAGCCGAGCGAATCCTTTGTCTTGAATCTGCAAGTATCAGAAAAATATCATTGTCGGCATGAATTATTAGATAGAACAATTAAAAATTTTTTAATTATAATTCATATCCAATTTAGAGCATACTTAAATTCTCTGTATTGACGCGCTTTTCATCTCTTGTTTGAAATGTGCAGACCCAGGGCACATCACTGCGCATTTACAATATTTCTTCCTATTTTTCAATTTGCAATAAATTATTGTAGATTTTCTTTAGTCAGTGCCCAGCAAAAGCATTTACGTAGAAATTGAAAATCATGTAATGTATATATAGTATAAATAGTACGTCAACTATAGAAATACAACAATATATAGTACGTCAACTAGAAGCACACACATGCATGTTCACCTTGCGCCTGCTAGAGCGGGTGCGGCCACTGGTTCGTAGCTGTAAGGTGAGTATTGGTTGTACGTTGGAACCATGCCACCTTCGGGAGGCGCGTGTCCTGAGAACTGATCGTAGTAGCAGGAGGCGCTGTAGACGTCCCTGCAGTAGAGATCCTCTCCTCCTTCGTAGCTCGTCGTCCCAATGTCGTTGTAGAAAAGCTGCAGCACAGGAACCTTCTCTTTGTTAGCCTCTCATGTATTGGCTAATGATTTATAGACCAAATTTGAAGACATATGTAATTTGAATACCAAAGTTTCTCTGGGAAATGAAATAAATGGGAATAAATGTATCCTAAAAGTGTACACATGTGTTGACTCTCTCAAATAAAATAGCTACATAGAATGCAATTCATTGGACTAGGATGGAGTGAAGCCACCGTGCATCATGAATTGCCCTACATGGTTGCATGATCAAAGACGGAAGGTGTTCGATATTAGGGTAAGGTGAACCAGAAATGATGCACGACTTCGAACCTGATGGTTAGTTGTGCCAGCACACTTGTAGCCCACGCCGCTCCTGGCAAACTCGTAGCAGGTGGAGGAGGAAGGGGAGTACTCGAGGTCGCTGTGATTGCTGAGGAAGTTGTTGCTGTGGGAGTACCCGGTGCCCGGCATGCTGGGCAACACGTTAACCCGCTCTCCACCCATTGCATATTCCCGAATCATCATTGTAGCTGGAGGCTGTGATTGTAAATTGTCAGTGTCAACTGGAACGATCCGATGAAGATCATTGGATTCAGTTTGTTGTTGAACTGTTTGGGGGATTATGTCAGTAGTTAGTGGATCCGTCGCTCGAGAGCAGGTGTTGGCCCTTGGTTGCCCGAACGCTGAGGACTGGACAGAAGGGGGTTGGCTCTCCACAAACGAAACAATGCCCGGAGATTTTGCTTGGCTAGACGGCGAATTTGGATGCAAACTCGAAGATGAAAGTGGAGTAGAAGAAGCGGACGAAACGTGTGAGGAAGTGGAGGATAATAGCGGAGATGGAACGGACTGTGATAGAGAGTGCGAGGGGACACGAGAAGATTGAGATGGTATGCGAGGAGAATGGGTAATGTCGTGAGAAGAATGAGTATGAGGAGATTGCATAGGTAGCTGAGAGGATTGAGTTGAAATGCATAGTGGAGATTGCAGAGGTGATTGTACAGATTCAAGGGAAGACTGCGTGAGACTTGTTGCCGATGCAAGCGTAAGTCCACAAGGTGGGATGTTCGTAGTTGACGGAGCCACTGTAGGCGTGGTGACAGACTGTGCAACACTCAAGCTGTTAATGAATGCTTCTGGTTGCGCTGTATAGCTGACGCTGCTGATAGTACTGGCCAAGTGTTGCGTTGTCTGTTGCATCAGCAGCAAGGGGATGCTGGAGTTGCTCTGCTGAGTCAGCTCCGCAACAAGCGGAGAGTTCACTGGCTGACGGGGATCTGAATTGTGGGGAGACTGAGTGAAGGTCGTGAGTGCTGGGTAGGTAAAGGGTGAGCGAGGGGACGCTTCTTGTCCCCCTCTAGGAGACACGGACGGTGGATGAAGCTCCTCGACGACATCGACTGAAGAACTCACTGATAAATTTCCTGCCAGTCCAGAATAATCGTTAAAAAGTAATAAGGTGGAAGTTCCTTTAAATAATATTGTTTTAATGACAGTTCATTTCAATAATCGGGGCGACATAACATGCTATATTATCATACTTCTAACCTCTAAGATTTGCCTCCAGGAGTTCTGACCTATTAAATTTACCTCAACAATCTTCTGTCTAAAAAACAAACACATGTCACACATGTGTTTGTCACTAAAAACAAACACATGTCACTAAAATGTCACAAACTACCCTGAGAATGGTAGTTTGGGATGAGTTCTTTGAGGCAAGATCTATACCCAGAGATAATAAAATTCAAATTTTCATACAAATAATACCTTGAGGACAGGACGGTGAAGATGGAGCTCTCACAAGCAAGGGCAGAGATGACAGCCCCGACGATGCGTTAGAAGAAAGCGATGGCTGGAGCGGATGAAGCTGCAAATTAAATTAATTTTAAACTATAGGATCAATTTATCCTGTCGCTGTTAAGAGTCAGTATGAAGCAGTAAAACCAAATGCTTACATTTTTGTACTCGTTGACATGAGCGGATAAACTTAAGCCGTTAATATAGTTATTCCTATACGTCTGCACACACGAATTTCTTTAAATATGAGAGTTATTCCACTTACTATGTAAGATAAATTCGTTCAATTTGACTTTTATTCTGTAGATGCCGTTGAGATCACATGTATTTTAGTAACTGAAGGACTGATATGAGGTAAAAGGGAGGACAAAGTCCTTCAGTCCTTATGAGGACTTTATCAGAGGAGTCCTCACTTGATGGGGACTGACAGCGTCAGCAGCTGACGCAGCTCCAGGGGCCTCCTGACGGGACCTTCCTCCAAGGGTGTCGTTATGGTCTTGGTGTAGGGCTCCCCCCACCAGCAGCAGCGACAGACTCTGAAGACCATCTTCAGGCTCCAGGTCTGCAAAGCATCAATAAATTGAAAAATCTAGATGTATAAAGAGGACTATTATTTTCATATTACTTCTTGAGTTGCAAATTTTTAAATGTATGCTGAACGCGAGTGCCTCGAGCTGTATCATCCACGCATCGCGGTTACGAGGCCGATAGAGCAAGTCGGATCAGGTAGTTATTTTCTCACTGAGTTCACTTACTCCTGAATGCAGTTCTCTTACTCTTGAAGGTTGTTTGCATTCTCTTGAATGCAGTTAACTTATTCTTGAATCAGTTCGCTTATTTGGGAATGCAGTTTACTAACGGTTCGATGCCAGTAAAATTATTACTCTTGAATATGGTTAAATTTCTTTTGAAGACAGTTCATTTACTCTTGAATGCTCTTGGCTTAAATTCAATTACTCTTAGATGTTGTGGAATGCAATCAATTCACTGCTGAATTCTATCGAATGCGGTTCACTTTCTTTTGAATGCTTTGAAATGCAGTTCATTTTCTCTCGAATGCTCTTCACTTTCTCTTGACGACGCTTTATACACGCATGTAAGTGGTTGGCTCATACTGGTGGCCGTTCAGAGTTCGGTGTTCACTCGCCTGTACAGAGAGGGTCTGAGGTGTCAGGGGCGACATCAGATGCAATGTTCCTGAGCAGCTGCCTGTTGAGGTGCTCGGTGTGCACGGTCTCCAGCACACAGAGCAGGGCGTCGTCGAACAGCAGCTGCAGAAGGTGAAATGAACCTGCAGGATTTGAGGGAGAGGGTTAGAGGGTAAAGGCACAATGCGCTAGGGATGCGCACACACAAACAACTGTTGGTGGACTTACATGAATACGATTAAAAAAACTAATTTATCAAACATGATGTACGCATTTGAACTGCAATTGAAGAAGGCAACTTTACAAGCTCTATGCAGGAATATCTGCATATTTACAAGTTTTTCGAAAAACGACAGTCTTGAATCAACGAGAACGAATCCCCTTCGCTTTAATCATTCAAACTCCTTACTTATCAGTTGAAACTCGAATTTGAAGAACAAAAAATATCATCATCACTAAAGCAGAAACTCGAATTTCCGTGGAATATCAAAGATAACGTTAATAGTCTAAGATGAAGTAAGCCATAATATCACTCGTTTGCTTGAATCGCAAATTCACTAAAAACTTTATAGCAAAGAAAACACCACAAAATTTCATAGTATCTTTAAAGAAAACGTTTCAGAGTCCAGCTCCATCGTCAGTTCGAAAATTCTAGAACACAGATAAATCAGTGATTAGTACAGTCAAGAATACAACGAAAATCCTAAGCTGCAAAACCTACCTATTTACAATTTCAAGCGGGTAAGAGCTAAAAGCTAAATTCAAACTAGGCCTCTGTTTAAAAATATACAATGATTCGAAAATGCGCAAATCAGAAACACCGGAACTGGAAGCTAAAACTTTGAAGTCGCTGTCATAAACTGGAACATCGCACTGCTCGGCGTGAACCCGCACAGCCGAATGAGGTGGGCGCGACAGTCAGTTACCAGTTCTACAACTCCTGCCCCTATGTTCTGCGACCCTAGAATAAAGATTGCGAGACGTCATCCCGACGTACGCAGATGCACATCGTGCACAACTATATTTATAAACTAGGGACGCTCGCATGTGCAGAGGGAGAGTATCTTTGTACCTAAAAAAGAACCGATTTTAAGATGGTTGACCAATATGACACGAAGATTAACATTTGCGAAATACTTAGAAAATAACAGTTTTAGCTCTCTTGACATAGTTTCGGATGCAGGGCCGAAATATGGAAAAGAGCAATAAACAACATCCCTATTGTCGCGCTCGGGAGCAACCTCATGGTACCGCTTGGACATGAATTTCTTTATTTGGGTAAACACCAGACTAGTCGGAAATCCATTAAGCGAAAATATATTGCGTAAAAATTCGAATTCAGCGTTCAGAATATTGTAAGTAGAACAAATACGAAAACCTCGGTGTAAAAGTGTTTGAATCCCATTAATCTTAAATTGAAACGAGCAAAAGCTAAAAGCTGAAACGTAATCTTTTTAAATCTCTTTTGGAATTATCTGTTTTAAACTCTTTTTTCATATATGCTAACAAGTTGTACCGACAGACTGACGGTTTGGGCATGGGTCTTCCGCTCGGCCCAACCTTTGCGAATATTTTTATGTGTTTTCACGAGGTTTCCTGGCTGTCCAATTGCCCTCTTGATTTTAAGCCAATATTCTACAACAGATACGTTGATGACACTTTTTTACTTTTTAAGCATCATTCTCACGTTAAACTCTTTTTCGATTACCTAAATTCGCAGCATAAATCCATCAAATTTACCATGGAACTGGAATCTAACAATAGCCTATCCTT